TAATGTGCGCCCTCTCTAATGAGATTAGTTTTTGTACTTCGCACCTCGCACAATGCGGTCGTTCGAATAAGGCTGAGATATGTTTGTTTAAGTGTCAAAATCTCAGTCAGAATCAGTTTTTTAACAAATTTGAAATATTTCCTCTGAAATATTATATTTCACAAGTGTCATTACTAGCAACGGAAAATATCATGTCGGCCGTTTTTATGTGTGATAACAGAACCTAAATCGAGGTAAGGCTAGGCCTAGCCTAGGAGCGTTGGATAGGCTAATGTTTTCGGCGCCAACGATTATTCTCACGACCTATCGCAAAATCAAACATGAAAATTCATCTGCATTTATTTTTTGTGTGGAACACAAAAAATCAAATTTCAGTCTTATTTCATATTTTTTTTCATTCTTAGGAATGTCTAAATTCCGTTAAACCAGCAATTCCGTATTATATTTATAAATTTTTATAACATTATACAAAAATTAGATTTTTCTTAACAACTGAAATTTTGCCGGGAATGGGGCTTTTAAGCGGGTTATGTCTCACTGCGTGCGACGGCAACGCGACGAAGAACGCACGCGAAGACCCGGACACAACGGATCGTATTTTTAATGCGGATGCGTTTAGATTGCCACTGACAATCAGCAGACAGGTTGAGCCGTCTATCGCTCGCCGGAAGCAAATGTGGATTCATCGTGTGACGGTCGTACGACGCAGTGAGTATATTCAAGTCTCCGAGAATGTAAATTTCGTTGTCATTAGGTTTGGCAGATTTGACAATACAGATTCAAAACCCGTTAGGAAGTCAGTTTCCTGGTTTGGTGGGCGGTAGCAGGATCATGATGCTACGAGTATCCGATCGGCTTATTGTTTCTAGGCAATAGTAATTAGTATCTCCATCCATGCAATTTCAAGGTTCGGTTGCTCGAAATCTGTGCGAGGAATTCAGGATAGCTGCAATTTGATGTAGATAAGAGCCCTCCCGATTTCTTTCATGTCTTTGAAGTGAGTAACCATCTATACTTATTTTATTATTTGAGAAGGAATCATTCAGGTGAGATTCCGTTATCGCAATGATAGCTGGATATTGTGCTGCTATTTATTATTTTTAGTTGAGATAATGTAGGTGGCAGTGACGAGCATTTAGATGCACCATATGCATACCCTTGGCTTGAAGGCATCTGTATACATCATCTTTTGAAGGGCTACTTGTAAATCCAGGACCGGGATTGGAACTAACATCTCCGTCTATGAGTAGGCACATCAGAAATCCCCAGGGATTTACACCAGTTGGAGGAAGCCTTTGAATAATACAAGAGTGCCGTAAGCATAGACACGAGGAAGTTATTTGCCGGTGTTTCATCTCTGAGTTGTGTCCATAAACTATATGCTTTAGGTTCCCCATTAGAATGGTAGCGGCTGAAGGTGTCTAAAGAATTCGTACAAATGACAACAAAATTGCCAAAAATAAAGGTAAGATTCATCGTCAGGAACCGCTTACGATTTTAAACAGAAAAGTCAGTTCGAAATGATGTTAATAACTAGATCGTACTAGCTTTCGGTCATAAGACTGTGTGTTTGTGAACAAAGAACAATCGCCTTTAACAGCTTGTTAAGCAGTTGACCGATAACAAAGGGCGGTGCGTTGACAGCGTTATTATTACGTATTTGCAATGTCAAACGGTAATCTGGTAGCTGGTGATCGATAATAATGGCTAAATATATTCGTCTAGTTTCTCTATAAAAAGACTGGAGATTGGTTGATTTTGATGCATTATCAGTAATGGTGGAACTCCTATAGATAATAAAATATATACGACATGTATACTGTTTCATGGATTGTTCAATGTGACAAAGCCGCTTTACAACTTGACGTTCAAAATGTTTAAGAACAGCAACAAATACCAAATTTTAAAGATTCCAGATGAAAAATTCGAACAACAAAATGTGTCAGTACTTCTTAGTACAATAAAATTAATATAAAAGCATTGCACGAGTCCGTAAAAAATGCACGGATATCTGATCCAAGGCCGAAAATGTGCCCTTTGAGGTCGATCCCGGTGCGTGTTGTTGAGACAGATCTTGATTACCGCTTAAAGTCTTGGTGTTGGCTAGATCTACAATGCTTCAAATTACCTGATTTTCTGACAATAAGATCATCCGGAAGTACCCGAAATCGATATATAGCGATATAGTTACCTGTATTAGCTCAATTATTGGTATCAGGTTGATGTGTTATTTAGAATGTTCTAAGTTAGTAGCATGTCTCCTCCACCGCTCCGCCGTCTTATTACTAAAATATGATATTCCTATGCTGTAAGTGCTGGTAGCCATTTTAAGTTGAAAGGTTTAGATAAGACGGTGGCGTTCCCAGTGGTCGATTAGGATTAAGGACGAGAACGACGAAAATGTATGCTACCCCAAAAACTATCGTTACAGGGGTTCCAATAAATTACAAAAAAAAAAATCAGATGGAATAATATTAGATATTATAAGGAAGAAGCGACAGAACAGCTATATTTAAGGGCTAGGGTTAGTAAGAAACTTTGTGGGATAAATGAACTTAAACTTTTTCAGGAACTTCTACACGAATATCAAGTTATAGTAATTTTAACTAAATTTACCATAACTTAAGTTCATATGGGAATTATGCCTCTCTCACAATGGCATTCCTTTACTAGTTCCCTAAACAGTAATTTTTTGTAACGATTGTGGACGGTTCTTTTTAAAAAGAAGAAGTGTTTTGATAATCATAAGACACCTAGAAAGGAAAAACAACCGTTTGCGATGAAAAAAAAAAGTTGTAAAACCTGTAATCTCTATGTTAAGAAAGATCACAAATACGATGAATATTTATGTAGCTGATTATGGTAGAGACGGGTCATATTTCTTGGGAAAAAAGTTGTGGAAAAGAAAACAAATAACGAAGTAGATAAGAAGTTTATTGAAAATTATTCCTTTTCGATTTTTAATGTAGACAAGAAACGGGGGTACACAATCTATGTGTCTTTCAAAAATGTTGTTTAAATTGTATTAACGATGATGAAGATTCAGATCAGTATGGAAGTACCATATTTCACGGTGAGAATGCATGCTATCAATTCTGCTAATATCGTACTTACTGTATTAATTAAAGTGTCCGAAACCAAAATGTCAATTTAGCTCCACGTTCAGGGGCATGCTATTTATAGAGCAAACTTATACTATCTTATTATTCCGGAAATGTTCGAAAAGTTGATATCGTATTATTAAGTTAAAGATACATCGATTTATTACGTGGATATCGAGATTTTTCGATCGCCATGCAAAGTTTAAATAAAATCCCAAATCCTCCTCCTTTTTGGAATTTAATGAAATTGATACATTTTTGTTCCTTTGTTGGATCGATTGCAGCAACCCCAAAACGAACATAACGGTATTTCACATTATATAGCATTAACCATCTATCATATTACTGCTAACTTTCTATCCTATCGCGTTAATTTGTAGCTCGCCAATGTTTTGTTTAGGTGACAACATGGCCGATGTAAGTCAGGTGATTGCGATCCACCCAATCACACGCGCGTATAGCAGAATCCCGTGAAACCAAGTTGGCCAAACACTTGATTTATGAACAGATTATAAAAAGAGAAGGGCGCCGCGTACGTCTGGACCAATTCCGCCACACTTTTGCTATGCAAGTGCTCTATTTTGTATTTCTAGTACCGTATATACTCGCACGCCATTTTTTGCACTTTTTGAGGGGCGCTTATTCGAATGGGGCGCTTTTAAATACAGAGTGGAAATTGAGGTGGCGCTTATGGAAATAGATGAAAATCGAGGGGTTCTTATGAGAACTTACTAAATTCAAGAGGCACATTTTGAATGAAAAACGATTATATAAGGACATCAGGAAACCGCAAATTACGTATGGTGGTGCGGCGGAAAAGATAATCGTCCAGAAAGCAGGACTTGTCATGGCGAGAATGTTGTGAGTACAGTACTCATAACAGCAGAATAGCAGATGAAATATTAGTAGTGGTGGTGGTGGTTAGCTTGTTTGGCCATCGGCCGATTGAGATTAGCAGGATGGCATGATCATTGTAGGTTTTCTTGAAAACTCAGATGAGAATGTGTTAGGTGCAAATTGTCGGAAAAGCAGTAGAGCTAGGCTATCGAAAAATGTAAGAAGATGAAAGTTGGAAATATATTGTCTGTCCTGGGAGCTCTCATCTGTCCAGATACATATCCTCATTTTGATATTGACTAAAAGAGAATGTTATTCCACTCTACACCTCAAATCATGCCAACATCCACAGTCTAGGATTGATTGAATTATTGAGGGGGCGTTTATTCAAACGCGGCGCTTATTCGCGCGAGTACGGTATCTTTGATACTGTCGTCTTGCGGACCTTAGCAACAATATCCAAGGGGAGGGACGGAAATGTCCATTGTACGGGTATCTCGATGATGGTCTGTCAGTGACGTCTCTTTCCTAGGTTAGTAAACTCTAAAGCCTATTTTCCACTTGGCGAATTTATTCGCGAGAATGGAAAGCGTCGGCTCATGCACATGCGCATTAACATTTCTGCGAAGCGAAAAAATGCGCAACCAATCAGAGCTCAGGAAGCGAACCGACTCTCTGATTCGCGCGAATAGGCGTAAGTCGGGCACTCACTTCGACGCGATTCTATGGAGAATTGGACGCAACGACGCGACGCGCGCGCAACGGATCGTTTTTTTTTTTTTTTGTTTTTTTTTTTGACAATCTGTTGACATTGCTAAATATAATCAGCAGGCGTAAGTGCGCGTTGTTAACGCTCACAGGGAGCAAAGTCGGTCGTACGACGCATCAGTAAGTGTCCTACACCCATCAAACTATGGAACAGCTGGTTTCCTTTTATTTTTAAGCACCTGCCAGACAACCTGTAAAACGCACAGGCTTCCACCTACTACAGTCAAAGAGTATAGCCTATGCCTGCAAGACGCGCAGCAGACGACTTCAAGCCACCTATCAAACAACAACATCCATAACTCTCGAAATGCTAGTAGGCCTAAGTATAAATTCTACAAGTTGCTGTGTATCTACTCTTACTTTTTTTGGAAAAACCTCAATCATTTTCTCAAGTAGCCATTATTTCTAGGAGTATTTATACAATACTTGCCGCAAATTTTAAAAATTTGCTCCTTTGTCTACGGCAATGTGAAAAGTTTTCATCCTCAACCAATGGAGGCAAGATTTGACTCTTCTTTGGTTAAAGAAGGTGGTGCGTCTGATAGTTTAAGGCTCAAATAATTCAGGCTTTCTTGCGACGTTGATATTGGTCTACCATTACACTTTTGCACATAATGCGTCTGAGCTTTTGTCCTTCATGAGAGCACATTTTTGCGAATAATTCTGCTTTTCTCATATATGCCTCCATGGTGTTTTTAGTTTTTGTCAATTTTAGTTTTTTTCCTTTTATAGATTAATTACACGAACGTTGTTTGGAGAAATTCAACCTTTAGGGTTCGATACTAGAAATCGATATTGACACAATTGACAAATCGATTATAATGCCGTCGACCGGAATATGCCATATACCGTATAGCCTAGTCTCATGTTTTCTGTTGTGTTCGTATTTGTATGGATCGTTGCATCTGTGTATGATGGATCGCTGCATCTGCGTTCGCGTGGTGGTGTTTCAAGATAGCCGTTCCAAGATTTATTTGATTTAATTATATGCAATTATTTGTTTCTAGCCGTACCTATTGTGTAATAGAGCGTATCTGCCGGTATTTGAATCTGTTCAACCATAAAGCCACTGTGGTCTAGTGGTTATGACGCTCGCCTTGACAGAGAGAGCTCGCAGGTTCGAATCCTGTCAAAGGGATTTTATTACACAATTTCTTTGTTCATTTATTTATAGACCTACATTCTTTAAGAGCTATGCTATGCTATGTATTATTGTGTCCTTAATTCAAACACTGTTTTTACCTTTCTTTGGTGATGCAATGATCCTGACATTAGCATTTCAATATCGTTTTGACCTTTCTGCCTGGTATTACGCCATTTTGTCATCATCTAATAGGCGAAGAGTAGTAGTTTTTTGATGTTGGCTTCGTATTGCGTTTTAATCGTATCGTATTTAATTAGTACCGAGAGTCGTGGTCATGTGGTTCGTGTCCTACTAATAACGTATTTATTTTCAGGCATACATATTTTTTTCACTTATTTATTTTAACTTATTTTATTATGATGTAGTCATCGTTATGTTCATCGTCAACATCATCATTCTTAATATTATTTTAACTATTATTACTATTAATATTACTACTATATTTAATTGCTAAATTAATTATTATTTAACAACAATTTATAAAACAATTATTATTATTATTATTCTTTTAATATTGTTTTTATTACGTTTATTATTGATATTGTTTCAACTGGGACCGGGGCTTCCATGGTCTTTGGTCTCTAATTAAAATACTATTGATAAAAGACATTTGTTAAATTGAGAAAACAGAAAAGTTAAAGTGATCTTTAATTGGAGGTAGACCTGTATTTTAAAATAATATAAACTGTCAAACGTTAATTTACCCACGAGCGTATTGATTAAATCTATGAATTGAATGAAGTACTGTCATAACTAAGAACTGTACATTCATAAATTTTGTGTATTATCTCTTACAAGTATGATTATCCAGAAATTCATGGATGACGGCATACGCTTTTTTCCCCTGTTTTCATCGTTTAACAATCTTTAAGTATCTAGGCCTAATCGTTCCGTCTACAGGACGTACTACTGGAAAAATATACATAGCCATTAGCTAGGCCCATGTGTTTCTCTCGTTCTTTCTTCACTTTCCGACGTTCAATATGTCTTTTTATTGTAGGTCAACAATAACTTATTATTCTGCTTTGTCTACCTTAGCCATTTGATATCAGTTTATGAATCCTTTAAGTAAATGGATAGTAATATTAAGACGAAGAACTAGTCTAGGAATCATCCTAAACATGTGCATTACAATAGCCTGTCGCTAAACCTGGATAGAGCGATGCACATGCCGAATGTAGGTAAGAATGGCCCCTGAAAAAATGGCCCAGGAAAAAATGGCCCCGAAAAAAATGGCCCCGGTGAAAATGGCCCCAGTAAAAATGGCCCCAAATGACAAGTAGGTAAAAATGGCCCCAATGAAAAAATTCAGTAATAGAAATTATATTTTTTTTTAAAATCTTTAAATATTTAAATACTGTAATAAGCAAGAATTGAGATTATCAGAAAACAACGGCCATTGAACATTTTTTGTTAGTTGAAATAAGTTTCAAAAACGTTTTTCCACTAACAAATTAAAGGAATGACATACATACAGTACTTCAACTACCAAAATATGCAACTCATAGATAACCACAATATTCACTTGTGTTAAGTATCAAATGAAATAACTTTAAATATTATACACCGTGCAAATAAACAGTAGTTAAAGCATGTGGATCAAATTGTGTGTTTGAATGACAAGTTCATGTATGGGAAAAGGGAGGCTACTTTACTTCAACAAATGTTCTGCTTAGAGTTACTTCAAAGAAGTATTTGTTAATCAAATATTGTTTTTAAAGTAAACTGAATAATTAGAAATACATTTATTTAAGCAACTTTAAGTTGCAAGTAAATTTAAGTGCCTAAAACTATACTAAATAATGTAAACTGAGATACTGTATTATATACATAGTTATGTAAATATGGCAATTATGCTAAGAATTAAAATGGCGTGTAATTGTGAGGGTAAAGTAATTATCGTATTGCTAAACCCCAAAAACCTCCTAAAACACACTGTAGAAAACCAAACAATTCAATTGTGATTGACTCACTTGGTATATCAATAAGAAAATTACTGTAAATATTTATAAGAACCTATTTTTCGGTTAAAATGTTGATTTTTTTTTTGTGAAAAAATACTTGTAAATACACCACAAACATCCAAACACACTGCTAACCCCATCCAAACCCTTTAATTACGATTGTAGAACTCTCTTTTTCTAAAAAAAAAAAAAAATAATAATTTGATGTTCATATAAACTCATTGTTTGAGGGTTTACCAATACCCGGATTGAATTTCTGGAAAATTGTGATTCCGCTTCCTTGAAATTGGCCACAAATAAATTATTTTAGTATTAATAAATGCATGATTTATGTTGATTTATTGATTATGTTGTTGCTATTTTTCAACATTTAAATGGAAAAAAAATAAAAAGTGTTATTTATGGCTTTTTTATCTTTGAATATTTTATCATTGAATATGTAATTTCTGCAAAAAGTAAAAGTTAAATGGCAATTTATTTGATGTCCTTTTAAAAACTAAATTATTTCAGTTAAAAAAAATGCATATAATGATTTTTAAAAAAAATCAGTTTTAATACAGAATTTTATTATTGGGGCCATTTTTACCTACCTGTCATTTGGGCCATTTTTACCGGGGCCATTTTTACCGGGACCATTTTTTCCGGGGCCATTTTTCCCTGCGCCATTTTTTCCGGGGTCATTCTTACCGTACATGTCACGTCATTACAAATCTAGTGGAGCGACTACTGTACGTAACGAGTGCGCATGAAATTCTATTGTAACGGAGTATGCTGAATCAGTTCTCAAATTATATAAAATTTGGCATGGGTGGCGACAGCAGGGGAGGGGGAAGGGTCCCCCGTCTTGGAGAGCTGCCATCCCCCCCCCCCGGGGGACAAAAACCACAATTCGTCGGGGAGAAAACAAAATGTGCATTTTCTACATACAGTATCGAATCCAAAATCGATTAAATAAGCCTTTGGAACCCCAAAATTGTCATATTTTTCAGGGCTTCCCCCTGTAACACTTTCGAGAGATCTTGAGCCACGCCCGACCAGCCCATTTTTTTTTTCTTCGTTTTTTCTTCGGGGGCCCCCCCCCCCCCCCCACCCACTTTCCAATGTCGGACTAATCCTGGCACCACCACTGAAAATTGCTAATTTCCTTCAAAAAACTGACATGATTACGGTGTGCGCAGTCTATCGCCAACCTGAACAGGTTACTGCACTGGAAGGTGAGGGTGTAATTGCAGCGCGTACAAAATTGTTTCCCTCTTAACAACAGCCGCTGCGAATATTTTAATTACTTAATAGTGTAGTTCTGAAACGATAGTTTTGTACTGTCTGATCGGATGGATTTAAGTAGGAGCTCAAACACAAAGGATTTATCGATGCGTGTCTACACAGCAGATGACATTATTATTATGATGGGCGGATCTTTTCTAGTAGTTATGGTACTGATTACATATTAAAACACTCTGGCTTTCAATGTTTACAGTGAAATTTGGAGAAACTACGTCGTGTCACTATTCGCACAATTAAGTGGTATGTACGGTAGTAATTTAGACATGGCTATAATATTAATAAGCTACATTTTCAGACGTTGCCTTAAAATAAGAACAGTTGAATGGTCGTGATTTACTAGAATCTCAGAATCTGTAATTGGGCATCGGTGGAAAATCAGCACTTCACCCAATGTGTATTGCAGCTTGTGTGCAACGTGTCTTCAACTTAGTTTTGAAATTTTTTCATTCTAAAAATGTTTTTATTGAATTTTAAGAAACTAAGTCAATGTATAAGTTTAACACGTTAGATTGAAAAATAAACAATAAGATCGATGCCGACGCGTAAAACTACAGTTATAGGCCTGTGTATATTCCAAGGGGCATATAAATATTGGTAATAACCAGTAAATAAAATTACATATTTTTACTTATCTATACTGGGACCGGTTAAAATCTACTGTTCTCACACAGAGCCCTGTTATGCCTAAGACTTAAAATTAGGATTTCATCTGGCTTCAACAATAATAAATGGAGTGGTTGTTCTTTAAAGATAAGCTAATTGTAAAACGGAACTTACCATGAGCTGCGTTTCGGCTAGCTTCGGTAGCCTTTGATCACGCAATATGACGCCTTGTTGTTTCAGTGACGTTTATGCTTCGCTGATCTTGTACGTAAGCTCTACGTCAGCTTTTTGCTGGTTCCCCCTCCTCTTCTTACCAGCTCTACTGTTGGCCTTCGTAGTAAATCATCGTATATGTGGTATGAGATCATGGACGTCCTCCTCTACTCTACGTCAGTTAGACACGAACTATGCTCATTGGCTGGTATAGCGAGGGTGATGTTAAGAATTCTTAACCATTTTATAATAAGGAGTCGTTCACAATTATCAACATTTTCGCAAGTGTACAAACATTACTCTTTTTTGGTGCCCCCTCCCTCCCCTCTGAAACTGTACTGTTTGTAAACTTGTAAAAATGTTGATTTGTGAACGATCCCTTAAAACGTAATGTTATTTTTCTGTCACTCAACGAGAATACATAAATTCAGTACAGTCAAGTTCATGAGTGATTGCGTTCTTTACCTACACGATATTTCCGCCCTTGAGGTTGTTTTTTTTTTTTTAAACATTTTAATAACCATTAGGTATATCAAATTTTGGACTGAAACGTACATACAGTATATTTCCCATAGACATGTTGTATGTAACACATAGAATGTTAATTTATAATATCGAATGGATTCGTTTGACGGACAAACTCAAAATTCAATGTGTGTTAAAGATTTTAAAATTCTAATGATGTTTTTTCTTAAGTGTGTCTTGTTAGAATGTTGTATTAAGGCCTATGCTGATTGGTAATTTCTTTTGATAAGTTTATTACCATTTTTTATTGTATTTTTTATTCCATTAATTTTTTAATTTCTTTCACATCCAACAGCAAGTAAACTTGCCACTTACAGGATGAGAATGATGCTTTATAAACTAACTCTCTTTATGAGAGTGAAGTTGGTTTTGGTCGTGAGAAAAAATCCTGCTGTGACAGGAATTGAACTCAGGACCTTGGGATCAGAAGGCAGGCATCTTATCTTAACCACCAAAATATTCAACTCCACTCCCCTTAATTAATTAATAGAGTGCTATTATTATTTCTTATTCTAGTAATAATTACATAGTGATTGTAAACCGTGTTTGACATTTTCATGAATTTGTTAAAACAACCATAAGGAATTTGTGTTAACATTATTTTTTATTTATATATATATATATTTCAAGATGTGTGTGTGTGTGTGTGTGTGTGTGTGTGTGTGGGTGTGTTTGTTTTCGGCGAGTTACGTGTATTTTATTAATTGTTCATGTCTTACCAGTGTTGGGGATTTTAGTTAGTGTTTATAAACTGTTCCACTACCTCTTGTTACACACTGATTATTTAAAATTATCTATTTTTCTGCAGATATTCCTTCTACTGCTTCAAAGCCTGTGAACCCTATATTCCAGAATGACGATATCTAATTTAGTAAAATATACAAGCTTTTTTGCTTTGACATTAATTTGCTGTTTAACCACCGCAGTATTTGTAAGTAGTCTTATTTTGATTGTTTTAGTTTTACTGATACACTGCATCTCTCATCCAGCTTAAAAATACACGAAGATCTACACCGCAAGAATTTCTCAGCATTCAAAATTATTTTGGTCAAATATCTATTGAAACGGTAAAATAGCATGACTGCATAAAATAATATTGGTAAATAATGATATAAATCTAAAGATTTTAGAGTGGGTAGAATGCAAACAGGTCTATAATAGCCCTGATATCCTATTGATTAAAGGGAACAGAATTTAGTTTTTTGCATAGTGTCTATGCTATTATAGGACTACATTAAATATTATGCCATTCACCCTATAATGACAATAGTGCAAAATACCATCAGGGTTAATAGTGCAGTTGTCAGCTATTTCATCGATTGGACGTTAAATTTAGTAACAGGTTGTAGCAGCAGTTTATTATGCGTACAATATGTGGTTTCATCATTGTGTAGTAAATAGTAAATATTGCTTTTATTCTTTTTTTAGAATTGGGACAGACGACTAGTGCATACCAGTACAGATAGTGCTCCAAAGCCAATGTTTTACACTCGTAGACATCAGGTAGATATATATATATATATATAATAATAATAATAATTCTGGATTTATATAGCGCCTCCCGTTGACACAACCTCGAAGCGCTTGAATATTATTACCCCCGGATCACTGGATCAAGCACATATGAAACACACACTCAAGCCCATAGGGGAATTCCATAATGTTGCAGCTGTATTCAGCGCAGGCTGTGTTTGAACCTACCAGGTACCCACTTGTACTCCTGGGTGGAGAGAGACAACCGTAGATAAAGTACCTTGCCCAAGGACACAAGCGACTTGCACAGCGAGAGTTGCACAACCGATGCGCCAACCACTTAAGAGATCTCCCCAACATATACAATGACATTCTCGTCATCCCGACCCGCAGCCACGGAGATCGTCCGCCATCAACATCGACAGATAGAGATGTATATATATATATATATATATATATATATA